TTAAGGGTTTTTATGGGTGCTGATTCTAAATCTGATACAAAAAATTATCTGAAATAAGCCGTAATATCTTTTTCTCCAATAAAAAAACCCTTTTTACGCCCCAACACCGCACGCCAATGATAGATCAAAATGTTTACTATGTCACATACCTACTTCATTTTTCCATCATACAATCACCTCCAATATTTGAATTCAATCGCAATATTATTAACTGAGATAACGGGGTGTATTCATTAAAAGTGGTTCACACTAGATTAAATTAAGAAATATATATATATTTTTTTTCCACCACATCTATTTATACAGGGTGTCCCACAACGTTTGACTCAGGTGATAATTCCGGAACGCGTCACCCAATATAATTGAAATTGTGAGGATCTAGGTAACTTTTTTTGCCGCTTCTTCATTGTCTCATCTAATTTCATCACTGAACACTGAACAGTATCGATCAAGTGACGGCAACTTTAGAATCTTTAATGGTACTTACGGTATATTATGACATTTTCGATAGGATATCGTTAATGCAAGGACATTATTTGTGTTAAAGTTGTTGGAAAAAATTATACAAAGAGGAAATAAAAATAGTATATTGTTTTATTAGGAGTAAAAATGATACTTTTGTGACGAGTCTGTAAGTTTGCCTGCCGAACGCAATGAGGCCGGCAATAACAGACGAGAAAAATTTTCTACAACTCGCAAAGGGGTGTGGAGCTAGCCCTGTAAGTCGGGTGCTAGGTAAGTGTATAGTGCCAAAGTTTAAACAAACAGAAATATGAGAACGGGGGGGGGGGGGGGGGGGGGGGGGCTCGCGTTACATTAGGTCTGTTCGTAGAAGAATCACAAATCAGTCAGAGCAAATTTCACTGGCTGAAAACAATCAGAAATAGTTTTCTGCATCGCAATGGGATGGGTTTGTGATTACTCTACGAACAGACCAATTAGCACCTCCCGGTAAAAGTTTTCTACAATTCGCTGGAGGGTGTGTGCAAACCGTGTAAGTTGGGTGCTAGGTAGTGCTAGGTGGGTGCCATAGGGTGCTAAAAAATTGAACCCATTGGAAAAACGACAACAGCTCACGTTGAATTAACCCCCCACCCCGGTGAAAATTTTCTATAAATCGCAGGGGGTGTGGTGCTAGCTCTGTAAGTTGGGTACTAGGTGGTGCTAGGAGGGTGCAATAGGGTGCTAAAACATTGAGCCTATTGGGAAACCGGGGGGGCCAGTGTAACGGACCCTCATCATCATAGGCGATCACTCGATACCGAACCGAGTATAATTATCTTTTATTCTATGCTATTGTCGTCGATTGCGCATTTTCTGATGGCCCAACCAATTCTGGAGCAGCACATTCTGCCACAGTCTTGGCACACCCAGCATTGTGTCTTCCTCTGTTCTATCGCCTGCGGTCCCTCTTTTCGGTCTCAAGTCTGCAGTCTGCGTCGTAGTTCTTCAAAAGTTTGTGGTCCGTCGTCGTCGTGGATTACTCGACGCCATGAGAGCCTATCATTTGCCGTCGTCTTCCTGTTGCTGGTATCGATGCGGTGCTTTGCCATATTTTCCTTTAGAACATCTTTGTAGCGTTTTTGTTGACCTCGATTTCGTTTTCTTTGTTTCAGTTGACTCGGAGAATCTGTCGTGGAAGACGTGTTTCCGGCATGCGGACGTGGTGACCTGTTCAGCAGAGTTGGTGGTTGGTGGTCAGTGGAGTTGGTGGTTGGATTTAGTTTTATTATTGAACATCTTTAAATATCTTTCTGAGTGAGCCATAAATAAAAACATAACCTTGAAAATCTAGTTAAGTGGGTCGAATTAGGGAATCCAAACCACGTGACTTTTGCCAACCAGCCGGCGTTTTGAAATTTTTATGAGGTTAGAATACGGGTTGTTACATGTCAACGATGTCAGTATTGATAAAGCCTAGTACTCATAACAGCAAAATTCGCTGTTTTTTGATATTGCTTCGACAATTTGACGTTTTATGTGTGAATCAAACGTCAAAAACGAGCGAATTTCGCGGTTATGAGTACTAGGCTTAATCCCGTCAAAATAAAAACATATGACTTTTGTTTATTATTTGCCAACCAGACGCCATTTGGACAGGTCGTTGGATTGCCTTATTGTTTATTGTCATTTGTGTTGTCAACAAGTTGATCGGGTGTAAAGCGAAGTTAAGCCATTGTTAAGCCAACATAAATTGGCAAATAAATTGACGAACAAATTTATCAATTTGAATTGTCAGTGTAAAACTAGCATAAGAAGGATCCTATGGATTAAATGGAAAGATCGACGGACGGACATTAGTGTTCTAGAGGAGACCAAAACAACTAGCAATAAGGCTCCCATCATCAACCACCAACTCTGCTGAACAGGTCACCACGTCCGCATGCCGGAAACACGTCTTCCACGATAGATTCTCCGAGTCAACTGAAACAAAGAACGAAATCGAGGTCAACAAAAACGTTACAAAGATGTAATCCACGACGACGACGGACCACAAACTTTTGAAGAACTACGACGCAGACTGCAGACTTGAGACCGAAAAGAGGGACCGCAGGCGATAGAACAGAGGAAGACACAATGCTGGGTGTGCCAAGACTGTGGCAGAATGTGCTGCTCCAGAATTGGTTGGGCCATCAGAAAATGCGCAATCGACGACAATAGCATAGAATAAAAGATAATTATACTCGGTTCGGTATCGAGTGATCGCCTATGATGATGAGGGTCCGTTACACTACCCGCCCCCCGTTTCCCAATAGGCTCAATATTTTAGCACCCTTAAAATGGTCGGTGCAAACGGCCACTAATGTACTACGCATGACACAAGTCGTCACGCATCGAAAAAGTTGTTATTGTGCATGAAACTATTTGCCAAAAAGCAAAATTATGCAAAAAATATTTGGACAGTTTAATCCGTTTAAATTTATAGGTCGAGTGGTATACGGCTAGATTATTTCCTAATAATTAGGATTGAATTGTTGGCGTCAATCCTATCCAAAGAGTTCTATTTATTATAAAATGTCAGAATATTTCTATCAAAATTCTGTCAAAAAAGGTAAACAAGCCATTATCTATGTATGTAATATGCTTTTCACACAGAGTAATTAAATCGAAGATTTATGGCACGCACGTGTGTCGGCTTTGTTTGTGTTGCCCTCACATTCTTATACTAAAGTTTTTGACCCCGATAAAATCAGGAAATTGCGACATATAAAGTGTTGGTATTACAACTGCATTGTAGACGCGAAAATTGGACTCAGTGCTGATATCGTGATTGTGGAAGACTCTCTCTGAAGTCGCCCAAATGCCGCGCTAGCACACTTCAAACGATGTTGGATTTCAGCGTCAATCGTTTCATTCGCTGACAGATGGCTACCAAGGTATGGGACAGTATGGGTAGTGTTCTACGTTCTACGTTCTGCAAAGGATGGTCATTTATGGTTATATGGGGGGCTTGGGGATTAATATCCGGTACGGGATGGTGAGGAATCTGTCTGTTAAGGTTGACCTCTTGGCCGATTCTCCTGTTTGCCTGGTTGAATGTATTGATAATAATTATAAACGCCTGAAGATCTTTCTCTGTATTGGACATCACGACGTTATCATCCGCGTATTGGAGTTCAATTATTATCGCTGTCTTCGATACTTTCGACTGAGCTCATAATGTGTTTAGGTTGAATAAGCCGCAATCAAGTCTGCATGCAGGAATTCCAATCTTGACGGCGGGTGAACCTCGACAAGGTGAAGTATGGATCCTATATAAATAGAGAAAATAAAGTGGAAGCAATAACACATTCCTTATAAACGTCTGTAGTTTTTAGAAAATACTCTCCTTGTCCATCCTTGCTTAGGATGGTTGCATTCCATGTATAGATGGCAATTTTGTTCCCTGGATTTCTATTGCATTTGTCTTACACTGTGTCTCTGGGAGGCTGTTTTCGGCAATTGGGATTAGACGATAGGATAATATACTGGCAAGTATCTTTCCCGCAACGGAAAGTGAAGATATTTCTCTGTAGTTTCCACATTTTTTTTTTGCATGGCTCCCCTCAGCAAAATTTCTGGCTGCGCCACTAGAGCCTTGCCTCCCTTTTCAAAAACGGTTACTATAAAGGCATCTCTATATCATTTTACTTATTAGGATGTGGGTTTGAGCACATAGTGTGGCGCCTCTTTTTTTAAACAATTCAGACGGCATTCCCCTCAGTACCGGCTGAAATTTGTGTGTGATTACCGTAAAAAATTGACACAAAACCACAGCCAAAACCTTATTTATTATTAATTATCCAAACTAGGAAGCATTCGGTAATTTACTGATGCAAATTATTAATTATTAAATGCTATTAGGAATAATCTCCGTTAATTTACTAGGACTGTAAAGGGTTTTCCACTAGAAGTGCTCGATTTTTGTAACGCAATAAAACAGATTGTGAGAATGATATTATAGTGATCTATTTGTATTTTTATTATAAAGTATATGTGTTAACATTATTTTTTTAAAATTACCTATATCATGTAAATCTCCGCCGCGGCTTTGCCTGGTTTGTTGAATTCTGGATACCCAATTTGATAACGTTATCGCATAAAGTGGCTCAATTTCAGCAATAACGTGCTTAATGTTGGCCTTTAAAGCGGCAGCAGTTCGGTTTGTCAACATAGACTTTGGATTTCAGAAAGTCCCAGAGAAAAAAATCTAGTGGCGTTAGGTCGGCGAATTGTGGTCATTGTGGATTCTGAAGGATCGTTGACACCATAAATTGCCGAATAGAACATTGGTTTTGATAATGATGATCATTTTTAACAATTTCGACGCGTTGCTCAGTCGTGTAGTGCTCCATGATAAAATGCAGAGACTAACTGAATACGACTGCCAAAGATAGCACCTATGTGACTATTGAGTTCGTCATGCGCTATTGTCAAACATCGAGCGTTACTATTGGAAAACCCTATAAATACCTACCTACTTCTATTATTTCAGGCTTGAACAAGGCTCACAAACAAGTTTAAAAGCGCCTTCCGCGGACAGCTTACATTTTGCAGAAGATGAAGATGAAAATTACGAAATCAGGTCTATCCATAATTTTCCCAGAGGTTTTGCATTCGGTTTTATGAACGGTAAGTATGCAGAAAAAAATTAGTGTTCATGAAGTGAAGCATGACATTTTTTCGATTTTCACAGGAAGAATACATTTATACGAGCGTGAGACACCGCACAAGTTTAGAAAAAGGACCTTGTTTAGAATTCCAGACAAAACCGTTTACAGAGAATATGACGAAGGAGTAAAGGAAATTAAAACAACAGTGAATTGTATCAAAGTTAATGCTGCTCAGGTAAATATTAAAAGCACTGAGACAGAAAATATTAAAGTGTTGGCAAAAACTATTTTTAGGATCGACTAATAGCCACTTGTAACGAGAGTCAAATCTATCAAGTGCGTTTGTGGCTTCAACAAGACTCTGGAAATATCGAAAATATGCATGAATATGGCTATCCCCTGCATCTTGGCCCTATTGGTAGCATGTCGATTTGCAGATGGAAACCTATTTGCATTACTGCAGGTATATTTATTTCTATTCAATTAGGTAATATTATGTAAGTTTTAGTAGCTTGAACGCAAGAAACTAGCTTAGCAAATAACAACCTAATAAAAAATACGATTTTGAATCAATCCGCTGTGACTTAACTACTTTTCCTTGGTCCAGCTAAACGTTCTCTTGTTTTTAAATATTAAGTACCTACCTATGTCGCCCTAGCTACACAAATAAACTGTTAAAATAAAATTTGTGATAATAAGCATTTACACTTCGGTTTATAGGTTCAAAGGACCGTTCATTGAAAATTTGGAACTACGAAACAAACGAAATTGAACTGGTTCAAAATTTCGAAGATGACATTCATTCAGTGGCACTGCATCCTACAGGACTCTATTGCGTCATCGGATTTTCGGATAAGGTGCGGTACATGACGATCATGATTGACGATATCATCACCACCAAGGAATTCAGTATTCGAAGCTGCAAATTGTCCTCGTACAGTCGGATGGGTCATGTTTTTGCCACCACCAATGGAACTGTTGTTCAGATTTACTCCAGCATCAGTTTCGACCTGATGTACTTGTTGAAAGGACATAACGGCAAGGTACCTACACCTAGCATAATAATCTATACATATGTAGAAGGTATTATTCTACCTCAATGGTGAAAGGCAAAATATGTCTGTATGTCCACAAGGTTCACCTACTTCTAGATGAGCTAGAGACATGAAATTTTGCACAATTATAGAGATTTGTAATCTCGTCGAAGAGAAAAAATCATATTGTGAAAATTCCACCCGTAAACACCCTGAGAGAGGAATGAAATGCTAATTTTTCGTTTTCTCAAGTTTTATACTATAAAACCCTACTTTAAGGGTAGTGTTGGCCAGTTTTGGGTTAGTCTGAGCTTTTGAACAGAAAATTCATCATTAATTTTAAATTCTATCCCTTGTAAAAACTGCTATAGCTCTTTTATATTCCTAAAACCACGCTATACGGAATTGATGACCTAATAGATATTTATGCACGAACGGTCGTAAAAGTGCACTTTTACGCCCGCATTTTGAAGCGTGAAGTAGTACTTTTACGCCCTAGGGCGCCTTTTATGCCCGCGGGCCTGAAAGTTTCAAAAATAAACAAAAATTCGTCATTTTTTTTTAAACTTTTTGTATTTCTATTGCTTAGTCCAAAAAATACCAACTTTTTTCAACAAAATAAGCTTTATTTCAATTAATAAGAATAATGAAATAAGCAATAATGGTAAAATTCAAGCTACTTTGAAATTTAAAATACAATTTTTACAGTTTTTAACTTTTAAAACCGGCCCTTTTCCACAGAAATACACAAAAGAACTGCTGCCTTCAACATTGAGTAAAAGCTCCATAGGGTGGATGGCTTATTTTTTTTGCATTTTTCATATTAATGTATATGCCAGGCCAGGAGAGTTTCTTCTACAAAGTATAGTCTGGCTAGCCAAACGGCGAACTCCAAAGGAATTTGCTGCTTTGCCAAACTTGACGGAAACAATGATAAACAAGTTGGTGACATATTTTTTTTTTGCTGTATGGGCATGTGTAGTATTTCGAAATAGAAAAAAATCCGGCAACATTTCGAAATGATGGATGTCGAGAGGCGTGATTATTCAGAGGCATGATTCTATTGGTTAGAGTCTGAACGACAGCACCAGTGACGTGGTTATTTGCGAAACTGGAGAATTTTTTTCTAATAATTTTATTGGTTTATTTCCTTGGTGTTTCCGGTGCCACTGAACCGAAAGACATGGCTGTCTTCAGGCGGTGTCAGTGGATATTTTTAGGTTACGCCCCAGTTTTCTTCCCCCTTTCGTCTCTACCAAGTTACCACTTGCCAAACTATACTGCTGCTCATTTACACTATGTTGGGCACATCAGGAAATAAAGTCCTCATATGTTTTTTCATAGAGTCTTTTGGACTTTGAAGGTATACATGTTTCTTGGCCTCTTCAACTGCCTCAAGAATAAACTTGGGCATGCTATTTTGCTCCATTTTCAGACGCACTAACATCATAAGAATACCATACACGTACACTACACAACACATAATTATTTGTTTGTATTGTTCTGGGTTGCTATAATAGTTACGTGATACTTTTGTCAACAACTGCTTCCTTGATCTAAATTTGACAAAAACCTATTGCGGTAAAGATGAAATAGTATATTGTGTATTTAGTTGGAAAAGTGACACATTCTCGGCCGACGGTGTAAGTTGACGGGCGAGGCGTAGCCGAGGCCGGCAAACACCGAAGGTTGAGAATGTGCTTTTCCACCGAAATACACATACTATTTTTTCTGCGATCGGTTAAATACCTGTTAAATGTTTGTATTTTAGTTCCGATTATTCAGCAATACGAGAATCACTTTCCCGGCCTAGGCCGGCAAAGTGTTTCCCGTATTGTTATTCATTGATCAACTATTGGAACGTAATTGATATACCAGAATATTGAGTTTTGAGACCTGCCAACCGGTCAAAAATGCTGACATTTCTTGTCAATCGCAGAAAAATTTATATTTTGAAATATTTTTGATTGATGTCATTACAAAATTGAAAATATATAATTTTTTAAATATCAAAATGAAAACATGCTCATCGTGCATAAAATCTTGTATGCACCTCAGTCAAAAAGAGCTTTAACGCCCGCAGCGTGTGTAACAGCCTGAGGCGTAAAGCTGTACTTTTTGACCTAGGTGCATAAATAACTATTATGCACGACCGGGCAGTAAATTCAACTTACCGCCCGTCGCTTTCAGGAGATAAATTAGCTAGAATGTACATGGACCCTAAAATTTTGTAACTCATGTACACGCCAAACTTTCTGAGCGGCTTCATAGCACTAACTCGGACAATTTTGTTCATATCTTCAATTAGCACGATGGGACATTGTCTCGCTAGCTCTTCGGGAAGTTGTCATTCTGACGTCCCTGAGAACGGTGATACATGTACATGTAATTTTAATTCTTATCAACTGTTTTTTATGTTACATTAACGATATCACATTTGTCAGACAAAAATCTCGTGGCATTGGTGGGGTCGGACATCCCCAACAGCAACATGTTAAGGGCGTCGGACCCCCCCAATGCCACGAGATTTTTGTCCGACAAATGTGATATCGTTAATATAACATAAAAAACAATCGAATGGAATTGAAATTACATGTATTGTCTGGCTAGCGAAACGGCGAACTGCAAAAGAATTTGCTGCTTTGTCAAACTTGATGGAAATTAGAAACAAAATAATAAACAAGTTGGTGACATATATTTTTTTTGCTATATGGGCATATGTAATATTTTGAAATAGGAAAAAATCAGGCAACATTGCGAAATGATGGAAGTGGAGAGGCGTGATTATTCAGAAACAAGATTCTATTGGTTAGAGCCTGAACGACAGCACGCAGTGGCGTGGTTATTGGCGAAACTAGAGAATCTTTTTTCTAATTATTTTATTGGTTTATTTCCTTGGTGTTTTCGGTGCCACTGAACTCAAAGACATGGCTGTCATCAGACGGTGTCAGTTGAGGTGTCAGTGAATATTTTTAGGTAACGCCCCAGTTTTCTTCCCCCTTTCGTCTCTACCAAGTTACCACTTGCCAGACTATACATGTATCACCATTCTCAGGGACGTCAAAATGACAACTTCACGAAGAGCTAACACGACAATGTCCCATCGCCCGTTGAAGATATGAACAAAATTGTCCGACTTGGTGTTATGAAGCCGCTCAGGAAGTTTGGCGTGTACATGAGTTACAAAATTTTAAGGTCGATGTACTGGGGACTATTAGGTTAGTATAAAGTGTCATATTACTAATTTCAAAATGTCGACAAAATTGGACATGTGGATCAACGACGTCCCGTCTGCCAAACTAAATTTATGTTGCATTTACGATGTATAAGATCAATGTTTGAATGATAAATTTGAATAAATAAATCCTAATAGTCCTAGGTACAATAAGACACCCTTAAGGAATGCGGCCAGCGCAACAAAGTGCTCGCGGCTACTCAGTGGTGTGGGAGTAGGTTCAATATTGAAAGATAGCTTTATAGAGCGCCACTGGCGTACAAAATAAAATCCGCGGACTTAAACCAGAAAGTCCCTGATCTCCAAAATTCCTACAAAAATGTACCTACCCGATGTACCTACCTTCTGAAAACAACTTTACCTTAGTTTGGTTGGGGTCAGTAGGGGTAAAATAAGAGTCAAATATAAAAACAATGAGTATAAAACTATTTAATATGTTCTGGGGGGGGGGGAGGGGGGGGGGGGTATATTTAGACCTGAAATTGCATTACAAAGACCAATAGAAGGCAATAAAATATATAAAATACCACAGTAACTATTATTAAATGTAATTGGTAAAATTACCAGAAGGTAGCAAAGACCAACTTGTAATGGTTTTATAAGTTACTCCAATGCATGTTAAAGAGAAACAATTAAGGAATAAAAGATTAATAATATTAATTAAAACCTGTGCACGCTTATACGGTATACCATGGTATACCGGGGCGAGTTTGTACAAAATGTCACCTTAAATATAGTCAATTAAAAATCATTGGTGCAGTACACCCATTGTAATAATTAAGGCAGTAAAACAACGTGGAAATGTATCAAGTTAAATATAAGAAATACTATTAATAATAATTTAAATTTTTTTTTAAATTAGGAAACGTTAATAAATGAACGGGTACATCACCCCTTTGTGGTCCTGTCTGCAGTCTAAAACATCCATATACATTACTGTCTCCTGACAGCCTCACAGCCCTGATAACAGACACCATCAACTTCTATTGACTTCCCTTCTTAAAAATGGTATGTTTCGGTTTCAAGTTCAGTATTTTGGGTACTCTGACACCTCAACTTTGAGACTAGCAAACCGTCAAAAAGGAAGAACCCAATGGAAAGGTAAAATGTAAAACCTAAAAACCTGAAAGAGTATAAGTTCTTAGAGCTCCTTCATACTTATTATACATATTAATACATCCATTATAAAATTAATATAGGAAAATCCCCTGAAACCCGTAAGTTTCCTTTCAAAAAAATGATTCCCCTTAATTAATTAGCCCATTAATGCCCCTTTTGGAAACGATTAATGAGTTTTTTTTTACTGACAAAAGGCCCTCGTGTAGGTCAAATTGCCTTTTTTTTATTGAATCCCAAATATTTACAAAAATACTGATAATCTAATCTAATCTAAAGGTAAATTCAGAATGATGAAAACGCTTATATTTACCTGGTTACAAATTTTGGCTAGTTGAACAAAACGTGCTCTCTGCTCACACGACAAACCAACAAAATGGCATAGATTTCGTTTCCAGAAAATTCTGAGTGGTTGGCTTACAAATACGGGGACTTACGACCAAATCCAAGGTTTTCACCTCAATTTAAGCCAGCAACCACTTGAGTTCCCAACGCCTCAAAAATTCCACAAAAGGTGGACGTTCCAAGGAACGTAGCAAAGAAGGACCGCTGGTAAAATCTGATACTTTTTGTTTGCTCAACGTGCGAATTTAAAAAGAACGACCTTATTTTCAGCAATCTATTAGGTGAGCTCTCATGAAAAATTCCCCAGAATTCT